GTTTTTTTTTTTTAATTTCAATAGCGCTAATTCTTTGACTAAAGCCTGTTATCTCATTAAAAGGCCCCGCGATGGGATTCGATGGCATCCTGACATCTGTATTCATTCCCCCTCCGAAATGAGTCCTGACACAAATTTAATGAAAAAACAGTCAGAACAGTGGAGATTAGACGTCATGCCAAGTGTCTCTGAAGGATTCAAGAAGGGGTGGGGGGAATCATCTTTTTAGTTTTGGTTTCATTTTTGGAAAGGTGGATTAGCACTGTTCCTTTAGCGGCTGTTGAGGTCTGTTAGCCTAGCTCTCACTCGCTTGTTTTGACTCTGTTACACTCCAACTTTAAGTCGCATTGAGATATTGAGGCGTGCTACGAGTTCCCTGATTGTCTTTTCAAGAATAACTGCTACACTTAGAGAAGTATTCAATATCAGAAAAAGTATGAACACAGCGAAGCGAGACAAAAAAGAAGCACCCCTGGCCCTCTGTAGATAAACCAAGACGCTAGACAGCTAAGCTAATGTAGGAAGTGGATTCCCTCTTCGATCTGCAACCACCAAACTCCCTCATCTCCTGCCTCCTCCCTTTTCCCACCAACCTCCTCCTCCCCATTCGCCGCCATCGCCCTCGTCAAAAGCCTGTGTCGGTTGTGGTGCTGATAATTCCCTCTGTTTGAAAAAAAAAAAAGAGAGAGATGAAAGCGCTCATGGATGAAAGAAACTTGGATTTAATCTTTCTCGCCGTCTTCCGCTCTCTCTCTCTCCTCCAGTACACGGTGTTGATCATTTTCTTTCAGGGGGGGGAGAGGGGGTAGGATGGGGGGGGGGGGGGTAAAGAAGAAGACGAGAAAATAGAAAAACAGCAGAAAGCCCATTTGGAGCCACGAGGACCAGGTGAGAGAAGGTGGAGGACTGGTTCAATAGAATCAGTTTACCCTCTCTGAATGTACACACAGTGACCTGATGGAAAAGTGGCCCCGAGGAGGAGAGGGGGCAAAGATAAAGAAAAGCCATCGTTTTTTCCTCCCGTGTCTCATTTGGCCCCCGCTATGATAAGGCCTTCAGCTCTCAGGTATCTGTAGTCACAAGGTAAGAGGCCTGTCATAAAGCGGAGATAGAGAGAATGGAGAGAGCAGACGGGCTCGGAGGAGGAAGAGGAGGAGTGAAGACAGGCTGTAAGAGGGATATTCACCTCGCTGTTTTAAGTAAGACAAAGAATTAAACGCTCAAATTGAATCCCGTTTGTCAGACATGGCGAGTCTGAGCTCGGCTAAAAGAGCCACTCAGAGGCATCCACACAATAGCTACTTCTAATACCTTGCATACATAAAAAAAAAAAAAAAAAGCTTCAGTTGGCAAGCTTTTAAAATAAAAACGCAGACGTCTGACGGAATTAAATCAGTAGTGGGGCTGGTGTATTTGCACGGCCATATTGGAGGGAAACTGTGAGAGTGAGCCGCAGCCTGAACAACGATTGGTTTGACCGTGAAGGTTTCTGAAGGTTCCTGGACAAAAGTCTTTACATTCAACCGAAATCATTAACTGTCAAAGTGTGATTGTAAATTCACCTTTCATTTGTTATGGACACTACTACTGTATGAAGGTAACCCCCCCCCCGCCCCCTCGATCACAGCCGTTCACCTCACTACCTGCAAAGCCTTGAAGGATTCTCTAACTCCTACTGTACTCCAGGAGTCAGGGAGCACAGTGCCAGGCCACACACCTCATTACCCGCCACTGGCTGCTCCGAGAAGATGAAAAAGGCGGGAGGGAGAATCCACCCAGAGACCGACAGGAGGAGAGGGAGGAGAGGGAGGAGGATCTGAGCACAGACACAGAGAGCGAGCCACCTGCAACTCAGAATTACTTAAACCGAGAAAATGAATACGAGGAATAACAGAAGAAGAGCAAGACAGAGGAAGATTCTTTGTTTTTTTACACCCTGAGAACAGACTCTACCTTTAATCGCACAGAGTAAGGATATCTATGTATATATGAAGTTAAAAATCACGACATTGATGTTGCTTTTTAAGACAGCAAACCAACCTGCTGCACACACGACGTCATTCTGTCATTCATGGACAGATGTTGGAGAATTGTTTATTCTTGCTGCTTTTTCTCCGTATATTCAATCTGCTCACTAATCAACAATAAAAGAATCCGAGCCTCTAACTGAGAGCTGCCAAACATGCAGTTTCACCAGGCATTCTTTTTTTTTTTTTTTACATTTCCTTACAAATCTTTTATATCAGAGCTTTTAAAGCTGATAAATATGACGAACGGGCGTTCTCTCCTGGACTGTTTGTTGAATTTTTGTAAAGCGCATCGTTGGCCCGAGGACACCAGCATCCTTCCAGGAGGGGATACGCAGGGATAATAACAGGGTGTGGGTGTGCTTTTTTTTTTTTTTTTTCTGTGTATTTCATAGCCCGCAGTTCCCCAGCCCCTCTCTGCCAGCCGGGGGAAAGAGAGCCCATATGGCAGCCAAGCGTGGCTCGGGCCAGCACGGGCTCATATGTATGGAAAACAAGGTCTGCGGAGGGAAGTCACGGGGGGTCATTCTAGTCAGAGAGGCAGCCCCGGGTCCTGGTGCAGGTTAGAAGGTCTTGGTTCAGGAGAAGAGGCTAATTTCTTCTACTTGGCTGAGCAAAGGCCTGAATAATTGCGCCCCCTGGGTTGGCCTGTGGATAATGTGGAGGTAGAGCGGAGCGTACCAACATGAGAGCGAACAGGGGGAGCAAGAGGGAAGAAAAGGTGCTGTACAGCTGTTACAGGCTGCTAAATACACGTAGAAGTCCTCTACATTGTGGAATCATTTAATGATATTAAACACATACATTGACCTATTATTTGCAGGGGTGGTGAAGTTCAAAAGGAGACATTTGAAGACGGCTTCTTGGACTTTTAAAAACTGTTGGACATTTTCTCCTCTGCTGATAATTTATAGAAGACGCAACCCATCAATAACAAAAATAAAAGCTACTTGCAACCTTAAGGCTTCGCACTAGTTTGCACATCCAAAGCATGCATAAATACAGAAATTCAAACTAAAGTACAGGTAAAGATTTGACTTGAACTTTCTGCTCCTTGTCTTTGTTAAACGCATTAAAAAGTCAATGAGATTTGGTGTATTGAAGTTGCTTCTTCTTCAGGTGTCTCTGTTGCCGCTGCTGTAATTGCTGTGGACATTTCTATCTCCTGCAGACAAAGAGCTGCTGTGATGATGTGATGTAAAGCCTATAGAGCTCGTGTGGAGAGTATATAAAGAATGTGAGCTCAGGCTGGACGTTTGGTAATGAATCTGCCACCGTGCTGCTCTGCCAGATTGAAAGCAGGCGATATGACTGGATCTCCTGGCGTTCGTGCGAAAATAAAGATCGCCCTTTTAAACCCCGGGACTGCGTGTGGCGCTCGCCGTGTGACGAGGGAGAGGAGGTGACACGAGTTTAACCACGGTGAAGGCCAGGGGAAGTGAATGTGACACGCTCAGGTGTAATTACACTCGCCTGGTTCACGGCGGAGATGAAGAGGAGCGGGGATGAAGAGGCATCAGACATGAAGACTTGCTGATGAGCTCTCTCTCTGTCTCTCTCTCTCTCTCTCTTTTTGCTCACCCCTTTTGTCACCATCACATCAAGGTCTCACTTCTGTCTGCCTTTTCCAATTATCAAGGTGTGACTCCGGGCCCCCACAAGCCCCTCCCCCTTCTCATATAATGTTTCTGAACTCGGCAAAAAAAAATCATTTTCTTTTGTTTGCTGAAATAATTATCACTTACAAATTTCTCCTCCATAATCTGACACGAGCAACTGCAGCTTTGCATTTCTGCTCTGATGTAGTTGGACAATCCTGATCTTAGAGCAACACTGCACTCTAGTGGCCGTTTGATGTTTTACATACACTGAAACACAAAATGGATTATGACAGTCTAATTTATTATTATCTCCATCCTGCTGAGCCAATATTTCAGACCTGATGTTCAGATGACAGGCAGACATCTTTTCTACTCGTTTGTCTGCATTGGTTCATCAATTTAATCAAAGCAGAGCGAGATTATTGGACGATTCATTACAACGGGATCACTTTCATAGATTAAAAATCATTTCTGCACTGATAAAGGAACAGTAGAGGTGCAACAAAAAAAAAATGACACAGCTTTACATTGCTGTGCTGATTCCTGGGATTGATTATTTTTTGGGCTTTATATGCCTCCCTTTAGAGACAGGACAGTGGACAGAGTCAGAAACCGGGGCGAGAGAGAAGGACATGAACCCAGGCCGCCCACCTGGAGGACCACAGCCTCTGCATACGGGCCACACACGCCAACCACTAGGCCACCGGCGCCCCTACCCAATATACATTTTGAGTGAAGAGCTCTCTAAACAGATTCCCTGCCAGTCCGACTCACTCCTAAATGAATGTTATGTGACTGGCAATTAAATGGCCAAAGAAGAAGAAGACAGCGGGACAATGTGAGACAGTTGTGAAAAGTGAAGCTAACACTAAACTATAGAGAATAAACATGTGAACCCTGCAATTTACCTTTTTATATTCTTCAGTCAATCAGATCTTGTGATGCATCATTTTATGATTGTCTCTGCCAATCAATTTCACCTGAGAAAGAAAAAAACCCAGAGAGGAGGAGATAGTGGATTAGTGTTGTTAGACGCTCCGCTGTCTCTTAAAGAAACAAGCTTCCCCTGATGCTGTAAGGCAGAAATATTCCTGCCTTTAACATCACTGCCCCAGAACACCGACTTTTTATTGGACAATCTCCTCATCTTTGAAGTCTAACCCTGTCTAATCCTTTTTTGTATTTTGCAAGAGAAGCCCGACATGTCCAATACATCTTTCTAAATACATCTCACCACAAAAGAAATGGCAGTTTCAATAGCTAATGTCAGCGTATATATTTATTTTGAATGAATTTGAAGCAGGTAAACCTAACAGAAGTCAGAAAACCTTTAAATAGTGTAAAAAAGAAAAGGTCAGACACAAAGCTTAAAACAGGCTAATTATTTAGAGGGTTTATATCTTTAAACAGTCAAACATCAGCTTCTGGAGCTTCTGGAACGTTCTGGTTTTTCTCTCTCCGTACCTCCTGAATCATCCGACCAATGAGGAGTGAGAGCAGACCGGCCAGCAGGCAGGAGAAGACGGCCACAGGAGCGAGGAGGAAAGAAGGGCCGAGCTGGATGCTGAGGTGGAAGGAGGGACAGGAGGAGAGTCTCTGATGGAGGACAAACTGCTCCAGAGTGTCCAAAACCTGGACCCACATCAGGTACATGACCACCACGGCCAGCAGACACACACCTGACACACAGGACGACACACCTTTAGTTCATTCATTTTGACCTTTTTCTTCGTTATGTCCTTCAGTATAATCTGTTTCTTTGTTCTTGCTTTGCCCCCTGTGCTTTTGTTAAAGTCTCTCTTAAATAAAGAATGAAATATGGAACGTAATGCCTCCTGTAGCATGTTCTGTAAACACGTCTCTTTCTGCATGTATAAGGTATGAGAGTTACAATGTATGTCAAAGTGCTCCCGTCTTACTACTGTCTAATATTTCCTGAAAGCGAGGCTTCAAACAGGCGGTGAGAATCACACAAACAACACCTGCGTTCACTCATGAACAAAAACGTCCCTAAAATGATCATCAATTGAAAAGAAATGCTGACATATGATGTTTCATTTCTTAATTTTAACTATCAGCATGATGACATGATCCTTACCGCCGCTCAGCTGTAAAGCCCCGCCCATTTTATAGAGCTTGTGATTGGCCAGTGGTCCCGCACAGATGACTGCAAATCCACCAATAAACACCGACACGGAGCCTGCAACCAGGAAGATGCTCCAGAACGTCCTGAAAACTGGAATATAGAAGGAAAAAAAAAGAATAAAGATCTTAACGCTCTGAAAAGGATTAATTCATCATTTTAATAAGAAAATGACCAACCAATAGCAGAGGGGTGTTCGAACGGCTCCGTTGGCTCCGCCCCCGATGGTTCATGAACAGGAAATGGGAAGAGGAAAGCAGCCTTGCAGAGCCTGGACGACGGCTGATTGGCTGAAGAGAAAGAGGCAGTCATGACGCGTTGTTTGTCAGACTTTGATGCATCTGATCAGTTTGACAGACGTAAAAGATTCTCACAGATCCAGAGGTCCCACGTTGAAAAGTCCTCGGATTCAGCCATGAAGGAGCAGCGCCAGAACAGACCCTCGTGGAAGATCCTCACTCCGCCTAAAGCCTGATGAGTCAGCAAAACACAGGAAATGAAAATGTTCAATCCAGAATCAAGGAAACTACAACTTTTTGGTTCTGACTTTAAAGTTTCATATTATGTCGCTGGAGTTTTTGCCTTTATTCGATAGGAGAGTGGATAGAGTAGGAAACCGGGGCGAGAGAAAGAGCGGGAAACGAGCCACAGGTCAGACCTGAACCCAGGCCATCCACCTGGAGGAACACATCCTCCACACATGGGGGGGGTGACCTAACCACTAGGCCATCTGCGACCCGGGTACATTATTTTTATGTCGTTTTTCAACCAGCAGCTGGCTGATTATCAAAGTGTCTGTGTTACATTTGGCACAGGACTGACTTGTGCATTTATGAAGTAAGGCTGTATTTGTTGACAAACTGTCTTTTCTAAAATGTGGAAATCAAGTGATAATCATGATCACCTCTAAACGACGCAAAACAGGGAGAATACATTTAATCACCACAAGAGGGAGACATAAACCTCAGGAAGAAGAGGAACATTAGAAATACACAATTTCTAAAACCTCATTTTACAATGAAGTAAAAACATTTCAACTGAAGTTTGACCGGACAAACAGTGTGCAGACTTATTTCCTTCATTCTGCAGGTAGTGCATGTCTCTCCCTGCACCTGTATGCATTTTACCTGCACGTGTGACCACACTAAATATCTCTTTTGTGCTCTAATAATTACACAAAGGTTGGAGGAGCTTGGCTTGAGATTTGTAGTGTAAAACAAAATCACTGCTTACAGCATTATCCATATTTATTCTCCACTTAAAACACTCTTCATTTTTCTTTGCCCTTCACTGATTTCCTCCACTTCTCCTCGTTACTTTGACTAAACTTCAGGGTAGTTCACTCATTTCATTTCATTTCTTTGGTTGTGTTTAACATCCTTAACAGAGAAAAGCTATAAACCGGCCTTTGGTACAATTTAGTTCCTAATATTAATCATATTGAAGTAGGTCGGGCCCTCTAAAATGGGTCGCTGACCTGTTTTTAGGGGGTCGTGGATGTGTGCCTGAAAAAGAAGCTGTTAAGAATCAGTTACACTTCACACTGGACAAGCCCACAGTAGTTTCACTTGTGTTGCTGCTTTGATTTATTTCACCTGACTAAGGGCTGCAGCAGAGGAAATGTGTTCCTTTTCATGCACTGCCCCCCGCTGGTCATTCTGGATGACACCCTTACAGTTGTGTTTTGACATTTTGATGTCACCAGTGGCATGTTCAACTTTAAAAGTTAATCATTTATTGGATTATAACTTTAATTATTCCTCTCAACCTACAGAGAAAAATCTGAGGACTCCAAATGTAAGTGTTACTTTCATCACTGTGGCCAAATTATTGTTCGCCTTACCTTTTGTTTTCTCTCCATAATAATAATCACTTTAATTGTATTCTGCTTGGATTCATTTCTACAACTCTACTTCCTCTTTTAAAGCGATCTACTCAAATAAATACCTCACTGCTGCTCTTCCCCTTTTTAAGACCACTTCCTCCGAAGCTTCCCTTATTGGTGTTGCATGTCTCTGCCGCCAGCAGCCAGTACTCGGTCCCACAGGAGAGCAGCGTGAACAGAAACCCCGCCGCGCCGAAGAACAACGCCAAGAAGAGGAGCGCCTTCAGCCTCTCAGCCGGAGTCATGACACAGCCTGTAAAAGCTCCCTGAACACACTGACGTGGACAGTTTCACTCGTCTGCAGCCATATTCTCTCTACACTGATGCAAACTTCAAATGCAATGACAGGTCTGACATTTAAGATGCAGATAACGTGACCCGGGAGTGAGAAACACACGCCTGTGGACAGCACTGACCACTGACGTGAAAATAACTCCTGGCCTCATGTATGAAGGGATACAGTTACAGGGGCTTTTCACTCACACTAAAATAACATTAAGGCATTGATGGTATTTCCTCAAACCCAAATTTAAACATGTAGAAGCACAGCACATAGACTTTATAAAAAGATGGACGACACAGACAGTTCCCTTAAAGTGAAGCCAGAACGTTTGGAGATTACTTTTGAACAGATGGGAGACTCCAGATACATGTCTTCTCAAACGTGGCCTTAACATTAAAGCTCACCATGCTGATGTTCACTTTTCAAAAAATGTTTGTTTTAATGAGTTAGCCGATGCTAAACACAAGGGACATATAATGACATTATTTGACAGCTCTGTTCACAAATGCAGCTCCTGTGTGTGAGGGATTCACAAAGTAGAGGAGAACCGTCAAAGTAAAAGAGCCACTAAACTTCCACATTTCGAGAGCGTCTGCTCAAAAACGACACAAGAATGTGTTCTGCTGTGGGCTGTACCGACCTGAGGAGTCTTTGACACATGCTGTGTAAATTAAATGCGTGATCTGGTTTAGGAAAGTTGCAAATACTGTGGCTCAACCAACCCATCTTTACAAGCAGACTCTAGAGGGACGGGGGATGGTATTTTGGCTTCACTTTGGTACAACAGGAGGGGGTGGAGATGTGTTGTCCATATTTATACATAAACACATGGTTCAATGTGAAGAGAAAAATACATCACAACTGTAGAAATATCTCCGTGGCATTTATTGGAATGCCGGCATTGAAATCCAGATTTGGTCAAGCCCGAGGCTGTCCAGTAGAACTGAGATCTAGGCAACAGTGATGGTCCAACAACAGTCATTCAAACTGCATGTTCATATATTAATACTACTTTTTGTTTTTTTTTCTAATAGAACGGTCCTGAAAAGATTAATACACGTTGAAAAAAAAAAAAAAAAAAGTAAGGAAAAGTGGGAAATATTTATTTGAACAGATTCAGATTTTTTTTTTTTTTTAAATGCCTGACGTGTTTTTAACGATCTACGTTCAAATAAATATTTCTTCATGGGACATTTCAAAACACAGAAAAGGAAATCAAGAACGGTCTGAATGTCTTGTCATTGATTTTTTTTGCACCTTAATGCTAAAAAAAAAAAAAAAATGCTTTGTGGAAAATGATCTAGCTAAGAGCTTCCCGCTTTTTTAAACAACCATTATTTTTTTTAGAGTACATAACATATGGCAAGAAGAACCCTCCCCCCCAATATACACAGAGCAGTGCGTTACAGGACTCCTGATGATAAATGACATATTACAACCCTGTGAGGAGATTAGAAGTACATTAACGAGGCACGCAGAAATCAAAGAGTTATCACCTATTATGAACCTATTGCAGTAAACATTTTATGTAGAGGATCCTTTGGGCTGAGTCACCTCTTCTTTTTTTTTTTTCCCTCCAGGACATTTGCTGCTTCTTCTTCTTCTTTTTTTTTTTTTTGGCAGTTTGTTTGGTCCGCTGTCGCTTTATTTTTCGAATGACGAGTGTGACAGGAGCATCCGTGCAAAGGCTCATGGGACTTCCACCGCATGTGAGGTCTCGCCACGCCTCGGACAGCACCCCCTAAGACATAACTCCGAAGACGGGGTTGTGGCGACAGATGCTCGGGCCGATCTCCTCGTAGTCTTTCTTGGTGTGGCACACTTGGTAGAACTCAGGCTGGAACAGAAATCACAGTTTTAGTGCGCCTCCGGTTTTGTCCAAAGACTGGCATTAAAAGAAGATTTCGGAGATATTCTATTCTCTCATTCAGGACGATTATGGGGTCATAGAGAAATTAAAAAAATCAGTTCTGATATACTCACTGTAGATGCCAGCATCGACCCTCCGAACCAGACAGCGTACCTCTGCATGTGGTGAGTGATGACCTGCACGTCGATGGGCTTAGGCTACAAAAAAATATATAATAACTTGTCAATATTCTTGTAAAAAACTTTCTGCATGTGCCTTGTTTTGCAGATTTATCTACATCCTTCTACCCCGTCTCCTCACCTTCAGTTTGCCTCCGCTCAGCTCTTCGCTCATTTTCAGCCGGGCGTCCACCGTCCTCTTCAGGTCTCTCTGCAGGCGTCTGCCGAAGTCCCTGAACATGGTGGAGCCTCCGGAGAGCACGACGTTCTGCATGCAAAAACAACGAGGAAGGCTCATTAAAAACACATGCACACGCAAACAGAAACAGAAACACTGGACCAGCTGTGAAGTTGTCACCTTGTACAGCGGACGTCTGACATCGATGGGGCAGTTCTGGATGACCTCGTCCACCACCTCTGAGATCGGCTGGGTGAAGTCAGGGTTGGCAAACTGAAGGAGAAGAAAGGGAAAAAAAACACTCAATATGTGCCTCGAGAATCAGCAGAATAGGACTATATTGTTATGAGAAGAATACAACACACTAAATCTTCATGATTAACACCAAAACAAGGAAATAAAGTGTCATTTTGTCCAGGAGCTGACGTCAAAAACACCCTTTCACTTCATGAATTCAAGTTTATTCATTTATCCAGAATGTAATCTGACATCTTAACTTGATATCAAAGATTAAAGATTCAATATGATATATTACCTCAGGGTGGAAGAAGATCTCCGGCCCCAGGAAGCGCTCGTAGCCCACGTCGATGGTGAACTCCTTCTTGCTGATGGCGTTGATGCCCGTGTACTGCTTGATCCACTTGGAGCCGTCTGTGTCGTACTTGTTGAACTCTTTCACGAGGTCGGGACAGACGTAGCTGAAACGCTCCTAAAACAAACAACAACTATTACATCTTTGTTTTTGTTTTTTACCTCTAGTGGCCACGCTGAGTAATGCATGACAGAGACTACAACAACCAGCATCATCTTTTAAAGAGCATCACTTCCTTTTTTTTAAATTTTAAAATAGAACATGACACAAATGGACTGAACTTCACTTCCCTGAACTGATCACAGTTTAGTTTCAGTGTATTTGGACTTTTTCAAACGTCTTTCTGGGTAAACATGATGAATTACTAAGGATTGTTAACAAGTAGTGAGCAGATATGAGTTTATACCAGCTTTTGATGTGTTGTTGTTAAACAGAGAAGCACACCCACCTTGACAGCTTTAGCCGTCTCCAGGGACTGCTCCGGAGGAATCCCCACCTCTCGCTCCCTCAGCAGCTGTTGGGTGAAGTACGTGATGTCCCGACCGGCGATGGGGATGTGCTTGATGCAGCTGCCGATGACGTACCCTTCAGCCTGGAAAACAAACCCAACTAGTTAAGGGAGAGGAGCACAAAGTAAAAAAGAAAAGAAAAGGGGTTCATGAATGAAACGACTCTTACCACAGGGATGACGTGCGTGACTCCGTCTCCGCTGTCGATCACAGTCCCCGTCAGCGTCCGCTCTCCAACTTGTCGGGACGTCCAGGATGCAGCCAGCGCCAGGACAGCCTGAGGAAGGAAAAAGAACATTTTTTAATTCAAATTTGTTGCAAAAAAAAAAAACAAATCTAAGGTGTAAGCTGAGATCACAGTCAAGCAAATGTCACTCAATCGGTTCTGGGTTTTAGAAACAGAGGATGACGAGTGTGAGGGATTGAAATCAAGTGGAAAATGTCCAAATCCTCAAAGAAACTCTGACACACTTCCTGAATGTAAGAGTCAAAGCTAATTGCAAAGGTGAGCCAAAATCTGAGTGTAAATGTGTTTTGATCGGTTTAAGTTCAGTGAAATTCTACTTTTGGGCCTTTTTTCACATCACATTTGTTAATTTGAGATGATTCCCCGTAAGAGCATTTCATTTGGTGGGGGCGTTTCAGAAACGTACCTGAACAGCGATGTAGAGTCCGGGGACGTTGAAGGACTCGAACATGATCTCAGCCGTGTACTCCCTGTTCTCCGGTGTGTTGAGAGGAGGCTCCGTCTGTGCGGAGAGAATCAACAAAAAAAAAAAAACATAAACAACCTTTGAGACAGGATTCTAAAATGTGTTCAAGAAAACATCAAGAAATCCAACTCAAAGACAAGACTGAAGAGATCCTGCAAAATAGGTTTAAAACTGACCCGTCTAGCCTTCGTAATAAACTCGATAAATATGTTTCTTTATTTGTTAACTCATCATGAGATCTTCAGGATTCACAGATTCCAATTCAGAGGATTATCGAACTAACGCTCCCCTTTTTTCTCGACTGTTTTGATTACAACATTTGTCACTGTTGCAGCGGTAAGAGAGTGAATGTGTGGGACTACTTTGTGCATGACATGCCGAGGTAGACGAAACACAAACCAGAGCAGCTAATAACCGAGTTCAGTAAATATGGAATCAAGATCATCCTGTATTCACTATCATCAAACCTGAATGATATAGCAGGACTGACTTACCAGAAGAAAGTAATGGTCTTCAGGTTCTGCCCGCAGATACTTGAAGATGATCTGCTCCATGAATCTCTCCATCAGGTCCCAGTCCTCCACGATCCCGTGACGGATCGGCCACTGGAAGAGCCACAGGTGAACGGTGTGAGTGTCACTGTGAGCCACGAGGGCTGAACTCAAACTAACTCAACAACAGCGTCTGGGATTTCCTCTTACTTTTGTTGAATACGACGGTTTGTCGATGGCTTCGTCCCCGATGAAAAAGTCCAGGTCGTCGACGCCCCTCATCATCCTGCGCTGGGCCTGGTCTCCCACCTTTGCCGATTCTTTGATGGCGATACCTGAGGGTGGAAAAACCGGAGAATATGTTTGTCAGTTTCAGTGAAATATTGAGATGTTTCACTCAGACAGTTTATTCTTTATAATAATAATAACACATTTTATTTAAAGGGCGCCTTTCAAAGCACTCATGATCACCTTACAAAGCAGAGCTAAAAACAACAAAGTTACAAAACATAGATAAAATTAACATCAAACAGGCGAATGTACAGTGTATGAAATCATATCAGGTTATTCACAAAACAAAACCATCACAGACATGTGTGTTATGTTAAAATGAATGTACGGAGGCTGTCGTCTCAAGCGGGCGGCCCGGGTTCACATCCCACCTGTGGCCTCTTTCCCGCATGTCATCCCCCACTCTCTCTCTCTCTCTCTCCCTGATTTCCGACTCTATCCACTGTCCTATCTCTCCATTAAAAAGGCACAAAAAGCCCAAAAAGAAATCTTTAAAATAAAAAAAATGAATTCATGCTTCGACAATGTGTGTCACTCTTTTCAGATGCTCCTGCCCACAGACCTCAGATGTAAATCAGATTAAGGACCAACTCTGACCCAACAGGTGTGTTGTGCACGCCCCGTCAAAATAAAACAATGAACTAAACCAAACCGGGGGCCGAGAGGTCAATTCTTTCACACCCAGTTTAAAAGTCTATTTTTATAAAACTGTAAATGCTTCAACTATTACAGAGTGGCCTGTGTGAGATAAGGAAGTGGACCTGGAAGTCATATTGTGGTGAAAGGTGGAAGGGAAACTGATCACGTATTAGTCTATTTAATGTCTACAAATCTTAATAAACAGAATGAAAACCTCTGATGACTGCATTATATCACATTATATGTATTGT